GAGTCCATGCCCCTTAAAGGGGCTGAGACCCAAAACAGACAGACTGGCAATACCTTGTCCTGTTATCTCTTAAATGAGAATAAGGCCAAGAGTCAGGAAATGCAAAATAATCTCATTCAAATTAATTTACACATGTTAAGTTCATGGCATTGGTTGTTACCAGCTGTGCTGTTCCAGGTAACTTGCAATAGGGCCCTTTAGATACGCAAGTGCATGTTCCATTATCGTTTATCAAAGTTTTATGGCTTGCATGCTTTCTCTATACAAAACAACTGCTGCAAAATAGTTTAGGGTAATTTTTAATAGGTTCCTTTTTATGTTACGTGGGTGTTTAAAATTTACTGTGAGAACCTTAATTTGATAGACCAAAATTTTAAGAATCTATCATTTTGATAGTGGAAACCCACACTGCTACATTCATAGTATAATTGCTTGCTCTAGTCAGGGTCAAGCTAGCATGAGTAGGTTAGTCTATTCACAACTTAATATGAAATTAACTGTGTGACACCAAGGGTAAGCTTACTTCCATGTACTGAATGTACATTTGCTAGGTTATTAGTTTTCTTTCCCTTCATATAGATTTCACTCCCGTATTTCAAATTTACTGTGTAATACTCAGAGCGTAATTGTACAGAAAAATAGACAAGAATAGAAGTCACTGTTTTCTGTGATGTGCCATGTGGGACAGTTCATAAAGAATTTCAGTCTTAGTGAGTCATAATTCTTTCTTCATTTCTCCCTGAGAATGACAATTGGGGGGAAAAAAATCATGAATTCCTAAGTACAATGCCAGAAGCTGCAGGACAGTTTCTTTTACTCAACTAGCCATAAATTACATGGGGATGGTAAAGTTCAGAAAGCCCTGTGCCTGTTTACAAAGGTATAATTTCAAATGCTGCTGGATTGTTAGAAATATAGAACATTCAGGCCTGCACTGAATTATAGTCTAGTCACGAAGAAATCCTCGGTGAATTCTCAAAGCATAGCAGTGAACAGCAGCAAAAGCAAGGGAAGGCTGTGAGATGGGCATTTTAAAGTCCTAGTTTTATTGTCCATCAACAATGAAAATCAGGCAAAACTCATGGGGATTCTTATTGCTTTTTATTCTATTCTTTTTGGGGCTCTTCATAACTTTGCAATTTTTTACATTACTGTTGTTAAAAAAAAGTAAAACCCCTTCATAGCACATTGGGAATCAGTCCATGCATAGAAGCAGAAAGTGTCTCAATGCATCTTTACTTGTCAGTTTTGCCTTCACATCTTCACTAGCTGTTGAACAGGTAAATTAGTTAAACCATAGATTGCTTGATATTTTTAGGGGACAGCTTTCACTGATGTTAGATAAAATGTTGGAACAAACCCATAAAATAATGTAAGTTAAGTTTTAAGTTGATGGACAATATAAACTACATTTTAAGACCCTGCATTTTTATATAAACTGTGCAAGATTTAAAGATCATTCTGAAATTATTTTCCATTTCTCACTAAGCAGATTAAGTTACCTTTTAATATTTTGACATAAATCAGCTAAGCTATGTTAGATGGCCAATTTACTGATAGAGACACTAGGTTTTAAGTGAAAAGACTTGAAATTATACTGCCTGTAAAGACAATTATAAATAATGTTATCTCCATAGCTTCAGCAGCTACCCCACTGCTACTTTTATACAGTTGTGAAGGCTTCCAGATTTGAAACAGATGGGTGAAATCTGCTTGTTATATTTTTCCATATAAACAGCTGCAATAGCCACACGGATGTTCTGCTAGTATGAAATGTCCCATGAAATAAAAGTGTCGGAGAACCTCTGAGCTTATGAAGTAATATTGAGAAATTAGAGGTACAGCAACAAATTTCTCTTAGTTTATAATTAAGTTTAAGCAGAGGGTTGGGTTTCAGTTTGAACACAGCAGTTGCAGTCACAGGTACCACAGAAAAATCCAAATGTCTAAAAAATTCAAATTTAGAAATTTTTAATGAAAAAGAGGACATATTTTTAATGAAAATTTCTTTGACCAGCTCAGAGAGACAAAACTAGAACTATTCTTGAGTTCAGATTCAACACCACTGAAATCTTGGGACATTGTCTGCAATTTTGGATCAAAATCTCAAGAAACATCTCATGAGATGCATTAGCAGGGGCATTGTGAGCAAGACCCAAGAAATCATTCTTCCGCTCCGCACTGATTAGGCATCAATTTACTAATTGGAGTATTGTGTCCAGTTCTGGGCACCACATTGCAAGAAAGATGTGGAGAAATTAGAGAAGGTCCAGAGAAGAGCAATAAGAATGATTCAAGGTCTAGAGAACATGACCTATGAAGGAAGACTGACTTGTTTAGCATGGAAAAGAGAAGATTGAGGGGACATGATAGCGGCTTTCAGGTATCTAAAAGGGTGTCACAAGGAGGAGGGAGAAAAATTGTTCTTCCTGGCCTCTGAGAATAGAACAAGAAGCAATAGGCGTAAACTGCAGCAAGGGAGGTTTAGGTTGGACATTAGGAAAAAGTTCCTGTCAGGGTGGTTAAATACTGGAATAAATTGCCTAGGGAGATTGTGGAATCTCCATCTCTGAAGATATTTAAGAGTAGGTTAGATAAATGTTTATCAGGGATGGTCTAGACAGTACTGGGTCCTGCCATGAGGGCAGGGGACTGGACTCAGTGAACTCTCGAGGTCCCTTCCAGTCCTAGTATTCTATGATTCTATGAGATCGACTTATCTCATGTCATTTTGGTGGTATCTCAACCAATAATGCAAAACAGTTGTTTTCTGGTCTCCAATAAAACTCAGGAAAAAAGCTATAGGGGCAGATTCTGATCCAGGATTTTAAAGCCTAGTGTGCCAGGAATCTGAATGAGTTATGAGTGGCGTTTCCAGTTTCAGATCACCTCAGTGAAATACAAGAGCATGAGTTACTTGTCACAATAGTCCTACCCAATACAACACTACTGCATCATATAAATAACTGCAGGGTGCAGCTATTAGTACAGAAGTTTGACTTGATATTTAATTATATGCTTCTGCCCTCTCCCTATTTACCTTTATTAAAGTTTTCAAATACACACTAGTAATCACAGTACACTTTAACAAGACAACTCAGCAGCACCCTCTAGTGAATGAATGTAGGACAAACACCTGCTGCAGCTTAACCAAAAGTTGTCAGTGCTTCACAAATCCAGTGATGTGATAGAAAAGAAAAGCAGCAGTAGTACTGTACAAAACACAGGTGAAACTCAGTTTAGGTTTGGGGATTCTTGGGCTCGAGACTCACTTACAAGCAGTGGCAGTAGTATATTTTTCTTCTCTCCTGATGGAATATAGGGCAGGGGGAAGGACCATAATTGAGAGAGGCCACTGGGGAATAGCAAATCTGTTCTGTGATTATCTGATCTGGTGTTCTGGATCAGTCCCATCTCTACTTCTAAAACCATGACTCAAAATCTTTGGTACTAGACAAACCCAGGAGTCTGCCCTAACCATTTTTCTATTTTCTTTCATCTTTGTGCAAAGCCCCTTTCTGTGGCGATGGAGGTTTGATGACTGGAACAAGGACCAAATATAGCCTTTTTTCCTACTTTTTGTAAAACCCCCAAGCTTATTTTGTTTAATGAGAGAGAATTTAATTCTGTTTCCTGTGCTGTAGTGGGAAAATTTGCAACCAGAAAGACCAGGACTTTCTTGGGAGTTCAGGAATACTATGTAAAGAGCCTCTTTTCCCTGCCCCCTTAGAGCACTTGCTTGGCAGAATTCTCACCCAGTGCTCAAGAGTTCACTGAATGGGGACTTGGACAATATGGATATCATGCACTATAGAACCAACAGATTGTGTGATCTGCTAGTTTGCGGGTGTGATCAAGTTTCCAACATGTATGTTGTTGTGTGCAGCTAGTCAGAGTAACATATTAGTTCCTTTTGTAGGTGCTTTATGGATTGACCATTGACAGCTTGGAGGATGGCTTTAGTAAGCAATATACAGAAAGCACTGCTTCCTCTATCTCCCAATCCATTTTTTTTTAGAACCGTATATGTTCTTTGTCTAGGTTAGAAATGTTTTTCGATCAGGTTTGCTAAATTAATCATACTTTTGACTATTTCCCCTTTTAACTGTAGGCATTTATATGAAAAGGATTTTCATTTTGTAGTAACGTTAGCTAAGTATAAAATTTGGAAGGATAGCATCAGTCTTCTTGTTTCCCTGCATAAGTGGCTGTGGATGAATCTTTCTCACCATGATGCAGCACTGTACACGTCATTCCATTTTCCTCTTAAGATACAATTATATGTCACTTTCAGAGGCAACATTAGTTGATCTTTAGAGGTCTATTCTAACATGGCAGTTGCTGTATCTCTACTCAAGAAACTGTATTTTATTCAACATTAGGCCTTTATCACTGTCAAGTTATAAATCTCCTTAGCTGTTGAATAAGTTAAAATGGATACAATCAGCTATTGCTAGAGGAAAGTATTGGTATCGCCAGAGATCACCTGCAATTATTGACTCTTGTACCATTGAAAAGGAAGTTTGTGGGATCAAAGAGACAAGCATATAGGAAGTTAACAAAAGAACTGGCATTAATGTGCATTGCAGCATCCATAAAACATCAGATATATAATTTGGGCATTCTGAAAAAAAACAACAGTTGAACTTTTACTTCTCCTATACCATTAGGAGTTGAAGATAGGACTATAAGACATTAAAAAGACATATTCTCCTAGATGTATATTAAAGTCTATGATAATACTATGATCTACGATTCCAGTGTCTCTGGATAACAACCATTTTGCATGCTGGCAACAGAGAGACACTCTTAATGGAGATTTTCTAGAACTGTATTGATTTTCAAGGAGGTATTTTCAGAATGTACTAATGACTAAAAATGTTACTTATTTACAACTATTCCTTGGAAAGGGACAGTGTTAGTTGAGCTTTTCTTAAGGAAACATGAAATAGTCCTTCCTAATGTTACTGTTGTGGGAACCTTGCTAAACTTCTGCCTACCTTTTCCTGAAGGGAAGAAGCAGTCCATCTCCACACTGCTCCGGGAATGGGAGATGCAGAGAGTACTGCTGGGAACAAGGCCTTCCTGAGGGGGGCTCCGCTCAGTCGTCCGTACCAAACACCAGCCAGGCCTTTCACTGGGCCTCTCCAGTAACTCCACTGTCTGTCCCACCTGGATGCTTAGCTCGCTGCTATGGCTGGCTGTGAAGTCTTGTAGCACCACAGTGAGTTCACACCCTCCAGACAACTGCCAAGATAGAAAGAAAAATATCAACAAGTTAAAGCACCCTGAATGCAATTTTCTTGTACAGTGTATTTGTATTGGCAATCCAACTAGATCATTGGTTGATAAAATTTCTATTACAATTCCTTAGCAGCTGTGTTTAGTCATTTCCTTTGTCAAAGTTCAAATAGCTGTGCCTCTGATTTCCTTGATTTCTATTGACGTTGCCAACTTTAGGTAACAAATTAAAAACCACCCATCTGTTAACCCTTATATTTACTGATATTTTCCAGCTCTGAAAGATTTTCATTTCAATGCTTGCTTTTCTTTCTCTTGTATCTTTGTAGGAGGGTAATGATTGAGGTTCAGGATCCACTGGCACTCTGCTCAGTCTCAGGCTACGTCTAGACTGCAGTGCCCAGTTTTTCTGAAAAAATTTCTGAAAAAGTGGACGCGTTCTTTCGCTATCCATGTAAACCTCATTTTACGAGGAAGAAGGGATGGCTTGAAAGAGCAAGTTTTTCCAAAATGTGGCGCCATATAGACGCACCAAATTTTGGAAAAGCCTTGCTCGAAAGAAAAGCGGAAAAAGATACAGAAATTACAGTTTGCAATGTGTGTATCTTTTTCCGACTTTTCTTTGTTGTCTAGACATAGCCTCAGAGTAAACTCCCACACTCCTGTCCACAGACTGGGTTATAGTCATATTTAGCACCCTCTCCACACAGCATCAACAGAGAGGTTTCAATGAGAGAATGAATACAGAACAGACAAGAAAAGAATCCTATTCCCATTTCACCAAAGAAGGGTCATTCCTTACAGTATGTTTTCTATTTTGATGTGATGAGACCTCCACTGCTTCTCTTGGGACACAATCACACCTCTCCTCTCCTTTTTGAGGAAAAAAATAAACATCTGAAGGAGCAGCCTGTGCCATTCCTAAAAGATACTCAGTTTAAAAGCTACATGCACTGCACTGAAGTGCCACTAGATGTCTATGTTTGCCATCACTCAGCGAACTAATAGTAAGGGACTGAATGATAGTTTTATCTATGGATGAGGTTGGGAGGGACGTACTAAACAGCATATTAACAAACAACCATTTCAAATGAGCTGGGCTTAAATCCAATAAAATAAATGGCTGCATGTTCCCCTGGATACTCCTTAAACGACAGTCAGGGACTGATCATTTCTAGTAAAGAGGGTGGCAGGTGTTACAAACCAGGCAAAGGCTTCCTCAGGTGCCTGATTTGATTTGTAGAAAGTGTATCCATTTTTATTGTTTAAACAGAAGAGGGGAAATAGCCCAGAAAACTCCTAGGAAAAGAGTAAGTTGCCTTGGGATGCCATTGCTTCAGAAAGTCAGAACACAGTAAAGCCTGTTCCAGTCGATGAAGCCCTGCACTGAATATCTGATATATCCATATCAGTTATTTGTGATGCTGCACTTCATGAAACAGACCTAGGACTGGCTCCCATAAAAATGAAATTATGACATGGCTTTGTCATTATCTTGTTAAATTTCTAATGCTCTGGGATAAAGGGACTTTCAGCTGGACAGCACTTTTAAACACCACCACATAGGAAGCACCTGCAGTTGGCGAAAATCAGATATTGTCATTAATGTCTTCTACTTCCTTATTACTTTCCTCTCACTTGTTAAAAATAGTCACTTGAGGCAATGGGCCAAATTCTTCCCAGTTACACTGGAATTTGGAACAATTCTACTGTAGTTAATAAAGTTATCCAGCTAATAAAGCTGTATTCATTGTGGTATAGCAAAAGGTAGAAAGGTCTGAAACTGTACCAGCAGAAAGGTGATAGGAAAGTTCAGTTTCATTAAAAGGCTAGAGGCACCTCTAACTTATCCAGAACGTTCCAGAGAAACGATGGAGCTTCCTTCCAATTCGTTCATTGCTATGTAGGTGGGGAATGACAAGGCCTGAGAGCTAACGTCTAACATTCAGCTAGAGTTGTGGAGAGGGGAAATGAACTCTAGTTGTTATAGGAGACCATTTCAGGTTTCTCTTACCTACATCCACAAAGGGAGTTAGCAAGTAGTTTCACCTCATGGTTATGTAAGTTTTGACTACCTGGTAGTAATTGCAAGCTTTGGAAAAATATCTGTGAACCGTATGGTGATGTTCAACATCCTTTCACCTATGAAGTGCTCCCCCTTCGTCTAATACTTCTTTAATACATTTTTTAAAAAGAGAACACTTTTTTCAGCCATAAAGTGATGTTATCCTATCTACAGCCAGTCATGCAAAATAAAATATATGCATACCACAATTACAGCTGATATGAAATAGAAAAAATACACAATGCCTTACAGGCTGTATTTCATATGAAAATGGTTTACTACTGTTCTCTGACATAATCCCTTACTGTTTTAGAAATAACCCCCATTACACTTAATTCATTTAATAAATTGTCAGCCCATGTGTTAGCTTCTAAATACTACACAATAGGAAGAGTACAAAATATTAATATAAAAATAAATATACAACCTGAATATACAATAACACAGAACAAGAAGATTGGAAACAAGGACAAACCTAATAATTCCTGGGTACAGAGAAATCCACAGGCATACCCAATTAATATTAAAATCAGAAAGAAAAGGTGATAGCAAATACAAATAATAAAATGTTAGCACTTAATAAAGGGTCCCAAACCCAGTTCAAGGTATTAAGACTAAAAGAAGCTAGAGAGGAACTCTGGCAAGTCTGCTCAAGGTGGAACCTCCACAACCAGGAAAGCTGGACGGAAAAAAAATCTGCCCTAGGCTGGTTGCGCCTTGGTCTCCTGTGTAGCAAAAGTAGTTGCCATGGCAACTGCTGCTGCCAGTAGTCATGAAGCCATCTTCTGTGCTTTGTTTTTGTGTGTGCCTGAGCTATGGAACATAACTAATGAGTTTAGTATGTTAATATAGGCTGAGATATGTCTGCAAAAAGTCACATGGTCCATGTGATTGGCTCTCAGGCATAGAACCTTACAGCGACCAACTTCCATTCAGGAGGCAGCGAGAAGAAACATATGGACAGCCTGTGTTGCCTGCAGAGAGCCAGGTACACACTATATAGGTCAGCCACTACTCCTGCTAGTGCCCCAGTGCAGCAAACCAGCCAAAGAGGAGTGGCAGAGAGATGGCAGAGCTGAGCAAGCACAGAGAAATGTATCCACCACACCTGTGTGAAAAGTTGACAAAACTGCCATGGCAGGACTTTTGGCTGGGTCCCTCCACACCCCATAAATCGTGGACTACAGCTTAAAAGTTACAATCTGGCCCATAGACACTGAACACCTTGCTAGCTATGTAAGACAACTAATTAGAGAGTGGCACAACTGCAGGGTTCAGGTCCAGGTCTGTGTTTGGATTCCTAGTCATCTCTAGCTAGTTCAGGGTGACTAGTTATTTTATACACTTCACTCTGCCAAGTGCATCAGCAGAACACAAAGCTAGAGCTTCCACTCATTCCAGTTATAAAATGGAAGTAAATTTCAGAGGAATGCTGGGCTAAAAGAGAATCCCGTCCTCTGCAAGCACAATCTGCAGTGACTGAGTGCTACTCTAGGATTCACACATGGGGGAAAGTTCACAAAACTATGAGCAGGGATGTGAGCAGTTTACTTTGTGTTGACTTTACTCATCCAACTACACAACAACTTTGGGGTCCTACAGGATCATTCCAGTAGAAAAACTCTGTCAACTGCCCATCAGCAAAGGCCATTCCTGGGTGCAAGGGGGGGTTGAGGCCTGGGACAACCTCATCCCACCCCAGGCCCTGCCCCACAATCCACCAAGTCCCTTCCCTGCCTCTTCCTATCCATGTTCTGCCCCCATTTCACCATTTTCCCCAAGCCTATCTCCTGAGCAACACTGGGAGCCAGCAGAGTTGAGTGGGCTAGAGTCAGATTGTTCCGCTCTGCTCCCCACTGCCACTAGTGAGTGCCGTGGTGGGCCCAACCCCTACTGTTTGTGTCAGGTCCTATGGTAATCCGATTCCACATCCCCCTGATGTGCGTCCTCTCTCCAAAGCACAGGGCCTAGGGAGACTGCCCTGTACCATTCTATGAATGGGATAGCTCTGCCAGTCTTGGGATGATGAAACACAAGCTTTAAAAATGACCCCATCATTCCAAGATGCTTCAAACATGGGAGCCAGAAAAGCTTTTTGAGCCATATGGTAACGCTTAGTGTAGGATTAATGTGTTATGATCTTTTCTGAATCATAGTGTAATACATGCACATGGGCATCAGAATATCTGTGTGACTCAAGAAACAGAGTAGTCATGAGAGAAAATGAAGTGGAGCAGAAACTGAGCTCCAAAGTCTATTTCTCATAAATAGTAAGATTGTAAAGACTAACCCGGTCACATCCAGTCCATCCCCCTGCCAGTAAAGAACTGCTCATTGTAGCACATTTGCTCATATTTTATCATTCAAATATTAAAGGGAGATAGGAATAGTCCTCTGGCAGACAGCATAGGGGCCTGGGCCAGATGTGTCCCCTGGGAAGGAACCCTAAGCATTTCTAAAATGGGGACAAGTTAGGCACAGGTAAAATAAGGTTACATACATTGCATAACTGCCACCTTTTTACAAATTTAGGGGAAATCGCTAAAGCCTCAACTGTTCATCTCACATGCTGCCATGGATCTTATTCACTTTGCTTCTGAAAGATCAAACCAAGCTCTTGTCGGTGGTTGCTAGTTAAATGAATAAGTATTGTCCTGACAAACCTGTAATACTTTGGAGTACATACATGACCAGTGGTACAGATGACTGGAAATGTTCAAATGTTCATCCAAGTTTTGCATCTGCGGTCCATCGCTAAACTTTAACAGTGGATGGACCCTTGGAAGACTGGGAGCTGGGAGGACAGATGTGAGGATATTCTTTGCAGTATACCTGACTCTCGCTATATTTTCCAAATCATTCCTTATGAATTTCACACTACACTCTATAAATACTGTGAACTGCCATTGCTTGCCTGACGTACTTTTGCCAAGGTCTAAAA